ATCCTAGACAGCCTGTTCACAAGGTGGGGCCTACCCCTCACCCTTACCACGGACAATGGGCCCCAGCTAACCTCTGCCGAGTTCTCCTCATATCTCAGCAACAAGGGAATCAAACACATCCGCACGGCCTACTACAACCCACAAGCTAACGGAGGGGTGGAACGCTTCAACCAAACGCTGAAGAACGGCATCAGAGCGCACCTGGTCCAGGGGTGCACGTTCCAAACTGCTTTGAATCAAACGCTAATGCACTACAGAGCAAGCAAACACACAACAACACAGGTCTCCCCGGCATCCCTCATGCTAGGTCGTGAGATGGAACTGCCACTGGACAGACTCAGAACACAGAGAGTAGCAGAACCGGCGACTAGGCGCACCCAAGAACAGCAGGCAGTGACCAGGCACCAAAGAGCAATGAAACAGCGTTTTGACAAGGCACACAGGGTGAAGAAGTCGATCATCCAAGTGTCAGACTGGGTCCGAGCCCGACGGCCTCAGCGGTGCAACAAAATGGCCTCATTCTGGTCGGACCCCTTGCAGGTCAGTCGACAACTGGGGCCCGCCACATTCATGATGAGCAATGGATCACGCTGGCACGCCAGCCGCCTCAGAAAAGTCCCTGCCCCTCAAGGAACACGAAGGCACACAAAACAGACATGCAGGCCAGAGACGCCACCGGATGGACCTCCTCCACCACTACCACCTGAGCCCCAGCCTCTGTGGGTTCCCCAAGGGCCAGAGCCACAAGCGGTGGCGGTTGAAGAAAGGCCTATGCGGGCACGAACTCGCCCTGCTTATCTGGGGGACTACTTAACCTCTTTTCATTCTTAGGCTCCGTTAGGTGTCTTAGTCAACCTCCAGGTTAATGGACTGAACTGGCTAGTTTGGAGAGTCCATCCGTTTAAGGGTTAATGTTTATTTCTTACAGGTATTACATTTACATTTTACATTTTAGTCATTTAGCAGACGCTCTTATCCAGAGCGACTTACAGGAGCAATTAGGGTTAAGTGCCTTGCTTAAGGGCACATCGACAGATTTTTCACCTAGTCGGCTCGGGGATTAGAACCAGCGACCTTTCGGTTACTGGCACAACGCTCTTACCCACTAAGCTACCTGCCGCCCTAAGGTATCACTCTAGGTTCTTGCCCTATGGACATTTTATATATGGTACCAGTCCCTGGTTTTGGAAAGGGGGGGGAAATGTTATGTATGGTACGACGTGCTGTACGTCGTACTGTACGTTGTTATGGTTTACGACAGTGTGCTGCGTTACGGATGAATGGGTTGTCAGAATGTGTGGCACATGTCATTAAACGACAGAGTGATGTACAATGTGAAACTGTGCAGATGTCCGTTCTTCTACAGCTAGGCTAGATATAACATTGCTTTCATCTCATAGTAACATAAAGTGTTTTTTGTTAAAAAATCTATGAATTGTTTTAGATTAATGGCTATAAATCGATCTCTGAATGTGCTATATTGATGAAACCACTCTCTCCTGCTGCACTACGATGTAAGGATTGCAGGCATGTGCTTTGTCAGTGGATGTGACACAGGGTTCAACCAGGAGTTGATGGACAGTTGGAAGAGCGAATGAAATGGTAGGAGGGACATCCCAACTTCAAGTGGTTTCAGATTTCACATTCTAAGTTTACACAGGCACAAAATATATATATTACTGAGTCCGTGGGAACCAGGGCTATTGCTCAATGCAAGCCATTTCAATCTACGGTTTCCACAGATCGATTTATGGGCGAAAATGACGGTCGGAACCGGTACCAGAACCACGCAGGTCCTTTACATCTAAGAGGGTTTAAAGTAAAGTAATGTGAATAACTGATGCTTAATTAATAAGTGATAAGCAGTAATGGACAGTCACTACCCTCATTGGTACTTGTATTAATTGTTGTATTCTGTGTTGTTACAGTATTCAACCCACATAATGCATAGTGCGTTTAATGTCGAAAACAATAATCGCAATCAAAATCCAAAATCATTATTATTTTTTAAATAATCGAACTGAAACCGAAACGACCTCAAAAAGGTAAATATGTTTTATTGATTTATTAATTATTATTATATATATGTCAATTTTTTGTAACACTAATCGCACAGCACTATTCAGCACAGACCCAATCTCAGCACTAGAGGTGAGAGAACATTTGAATTGTGATCAACATTATTATGCCCAGAGGAAAAATAGCCTCCTTCCGAACTAATGTCAGATGTTATTTAACACCATGGTTGAACATATACATTAGGGACAACAGAAGGAAGAAACTGATATTGGAGGTAAGACACACCAAGATCCTCGCATGGTGGAGGCACTGGGAAACCCTTGTCTGTTTCCTTGTGTAACAAAGTATAGACCAGGAGTATTCAAATCCTACTGTGGAGGTCCGGAGTACTGCTGTTTTTCTGTTCTACATGATAATGAATTGCACCCACCTGGTGTCCCAGGACTAAAACAGAGAGGAAGAGGAAGAGACCAGCTCAACTCGGAAGAAAATCTGTCTCTCTCCAGCAGGTGGCGTTTGTTCGTTGTTTCGCCCACCAAGCAAGGAGTTTTTGTATGGAGGTCAATGAGAGTGTCGAATTTGGTCCCCCTAAAAAATGATTATTGTTAAAAAAAGTATTATTGTTAGTGTACTGATATAAGTAGGACACGTGACATCATGGCAACTTTGAGAAAAAACACTTTATATCGGAGTTGTCTAGAGATGACTATGCATATCCATGGCATGAGGCTAGTAGCATAGCATCTCTCTCCATTGATTACAGGCGGATGACAACAACCCTCATCGAATATTCAAAAAAGGACGACAATAATGAGATGTATCCACCAATCCAAAGAAAGGATAGGGCAGAGAGACATGTATCTTGTCAGTATATCCATCATCTTTGTCTAAATCAATCCCTGATTAGAGGGGAATAATGAAAAGAAGCTGTGGAATTGGCCAGATTTGATTTTGAGGGGTATAGACTGTCACGAATAGCAAACAATCATCATGGCACATGTTTTACAATGTATTAGTGAGCATATCTTATATTATGTGAATTAGAAAAAAGACCAGAGTTGATGACTGAGTTTCAATTTGATGACTGAGATATTTCTTTAACATCATCAGCATTTCCCATCAGCATCGCTGTCTTTTCTATCTACATACAGTTTTGTTTTCTAGGAAATTGTGCAATGGTCTCACTGTAGAGTTCCATGTGACTGAGACAGAAAGTGAAACTGTGGGGTCACAAGGTCTTAGTCATCAAATGGTTCGACTCATAATGAGTATCAACCAGTATCACATTTCTGAAGTACAGTAAAGAACTGCGTTAATATGAGCGATACTTCAACTGTGGCTGGAATAACTCATTTGCCTTCTGGGGTTTCATGGTAAGCATGGAAGGGAACTGGTTTTTCAATAACAACCCCCAAAGTCGGACAGCTCTGTATAAACATGTTATTATCTCTGTATTACATAATTACATAATATTACATAATATAAGTAAACGCAATGGCGAACCGTGACTACAGTATAGGACTCAGGCCTTCAGAGGGACCAAAAGTCTTCCGATAAGTTGTATGAAACAAAGACATCAAGTAAATAACATAAAACAGAGTATCACTTAAAGCTACAATATGTAGAAATGGGAGTTATAGAGCTTTCATTCCCGTTGAAAGCAAGTCTAAGAAGTGGTAGATCTATTCTAAGTGTGCTATTTCTATGCTTACCGTTCTGAAGTTTTGTTTTTGAGTCTTTTACTTTTGGTTTTGTACACCGGCTTCGTACAGCTGAATATACAATATTTTTGGTTATGGAAAATATATTTCACAGCTGTTTAGATGGTACAATGATTATCTATACAGTGAGTGCTTCTTTTGTCACATAATCTGAAATTAGGCGAACTATTAGAATTTTTGCAACCAGGAATGGCAGAGCGATTTCTGCATAGTGCATCTTTAATGCACCTGACATAATAACTTCTGTAGTTGGACCATTCTAGTTCTAGTGAAGGAGGAGCAATGCTTTTTGGTGACATTATGAGTGGTCTAAGGCACTGCATCGCAGTGCTAGCTGTGCCACTAGAGATCCTGGTTCGAATCCAGGCTCTGTCGTAGCCGGCCGTGACCGGGAGACCCATGGGGCGGCACACAATTTGCCCAGCGTTGTCTAGGGTAGGGGAGGAAATGGCCGGCAGGGATGTAACTCAGTTGGTAGAGCATGGCATTTGCAACGCCAGGGTTGTGGGTTCGATTCCCACGGGGGTATGAAAAATAGTATAAAAAAATGTTTTACTAAAAATGTATGCACTCACTAACTGTAAGTCGCTCTGGATAAGAGCGTCTGCTAAATGACTAAAATGTAAATTTAAAAAAATTATGAGAATGCCTAGACAAAGATGTTTATAACTAACCCAAGATCGACCACAGCCTGTCGTTTCCAATGGGAGCAAATTAATCATAGTGGGCAGAACAAGCAAGGAGGTGGGCAGTGCCAAGAGCGAGCTAGTGAGATCCTATTGGCGCATTCTAGCATGTATTTGCATATTTTCATTAGGGAACGCCTACTCTGTGAAGTGCTCAATTCGCCCTTGCACTCCTAAACAACGCCATTTTTTGAAACTTTGGCAAAGGGTAAAGTCTACTAAACGCAGTCCACTCTGTTTGTTACAGATTATGGTTTTGGAAACAGCAAACTGTCTGGAGATCAAATGTTTTATTAATGAGAAAATTAGCAGAATGTCGGCCAAAATCCATCTCATTCCATCTTCTCCCACTGCCGGCCACTGGGCTCCCTCTCATTACCATATTTGGTAGTGAGTGGAAACGCCAACCGGATGCATCACATTTAGTTAACAGAAAATGTAGCATGATTAAACTTTTTGTTGACAGAGTCAATGTGAGTGTCCTTGTGTGCATGAGCCTTTTGTGTTTTCAGTCCTCTCCTGGCAAGAGTTTACAGTCTCCATCTCAGTGACAGTCACAGACAGTCTATCACCAGGACCAGTTGGCGCTGCCGAAAGGGGTCCAGGTCAGAGGACACGTCTCTGCTGAGCCCAGGAGGGTGTTAGTACTTGGGGGGTCCTGGAAACCCTGGGCCTCCCTGTGAACAGAACATAAAAGCAGGTTACAGTTTACAGTCAGAATGTTCCATGAGATGTTCTGCTGAACCTATTAATGTTATTGTTAGAAAATAGTAACATCATTTGAAACTGTCTAACACTTACTGTCAAAGGTATTTTGGGACTTTCCTTTTTCTAGCACTTTTGTTTTTAACACACTGACTTCTCAAAATGCTATTGCAGTAATACTGTAAGTATAAACCATAGGAGGCTGCTGAGGGAAAGGATGGCTCATAATAATAGTAACCATGTATTTGATACCATACTCTTCCATTCCAGCCATTACAACGAGGATTAGTGTTATCTGGGATCCTAATTTAATCAGGTGTGTCAGTTTAGGGTTAAAACAAAAATGTGAAAAGTCTGGGGGGGCCCAAGGAGAGGGTTGGGTAACCCTGCCTTAACCCTTACCTTAACCATTTAAAATGTAAACTTAAATGTGGTGACGTCAGAGTTGGGACGTCCCAAGGATCCCGTTTTTATTGTTCCTTACCACAAGCCCGTCCTCCACAATAAAGGTACCACCAACCTCCTGTGATGCGGGGACTTTTCTAAAAATAAGAAATGACTAGGTCTATAACAGACTGTCGGGACTTTTAAAGCAGGCCTTAAGACTCAACTCTATCGGCTGGCTGCCATTACTCCTAGACTTTGATTGTTGCTTTCATGATATGGTTAGATATATTTGTTTAGTTTTATAAACATGTTTTATTTTTTTACTTTATTTTATGCACTTTGAGATTATTCCTGTTTAATGAAAAGTGCTTTACCAATGTAATTTATTATTATGATTTACAACATGTGAAATCCCCCTGACACAAAAACAAACTTGGTGTCTGTGGGGGTGTTTCCACACGTGGCAGTTTAGAAAGCGCACACTCATGCTCACATGCACACTCATGCTCACATGCTGAGTCATTGTCATGAGATTCCCCAAATAAAATCCTGTCTCATACTAACTTTGTATGAGATCATTCTGGCTTCAACATCAGCTACACCTTTAGAGGATAAAGTACATACTTCCTCTCTAGGCTGTCTATCACCGGCAACATGAAACAGTGGAAACTAAACATTTGTGAAAATCAATTAAGAACTGAAGAACAGTTAAGTGTGTGTTACCTTTATGTCTGCGATACACGAAGATGGTAACTGCAATGATCATAGCCACCATCAATGTTGTGCCCAATGCAATTGAAAGGGTGTTAGGTTTACTCTCAATCACAGGTATTTCATCTGTGAGTAAAAAAGATAGGGAGAGTGAAACCATTTTATTTTGCATCATAAACTGTATATAATACTGCCTATGTTCTTAGTTAACATTTCAAAACTTAAAAAACATTTAGGAAAGAAAACAATATTCCACCAGATAAAAGGGTGTGAAGAGAATTTCCTCAAAGTCGTAAAGCTAAAAACACCACCACCACCAAGCAACAGTGATTGGTAGAAGTTCTGACAAACATTTGATCTTCATGTAAAGACTTATGCACTATCTTGTAGCCATCTTACATTTTACATTTACATTTTAGTCATTTAGCAGACGCTCTTATCCAGAGCGACTTACAGTTAGTGAATACCTTTTATTTTTTAAATATTTTTTTTATACTGGCCCCCCATGGGAATCGAACCCACAACCCTGGCGTTGCAAACGCCATGCTCTATCAACTGAGCTACATCCCTCCCCTACCCTGGACGACGCTGGGCCAATTGTGCGCCGCCCATGAGTCTCCCGGTCGCGGCCGGCTGCGACAGAGCCTGGATTCGAACCAGGATCTCTAGTGGCACAGTTAGCACTGCGATGCAGTGCCTTAGACCACTGCGCCACTCAGGAGTGGGCCATGTTCAAAGGCCATGTTTTTTTCACATTGAATTATGACTCCTACATGTTTTTTCCACATTGAATTATGACTCCTACAATGTGATTCATTGAATGGAAGGGAAAACATCACCCCGGCACCTACGCTTTAGCACCATGCTCATTGAGGAAAGCACCCGTTTTAAAGCACCTTTTATCAACAACACATCTACGCACTCCAACCCACACTTTCCATTCAGAGATTAAATAGACCTTGTGTTATAATGTCACACAGTCTCATTTGTAGGGTATCAGTATTTCTTATAAATGTGTTATGTATGAGTTATGAATGTGTTATGAAGCCCTTATGTAGATGCCCTTCAAATGGTGTAAACAAACAGGGAAATTCACCCACTTCATACCTGGGATGTCAAACCTGGCTGATGGACCCTTTGGAACTTCACCTTTCTCCACAAAGGCACATGTATAGTTGTTTTTCTCAGAGTATTTGACCGTTATCTTGCTGGTGACATGGAAAAGCTGGTCTGGAGTTTCAACAGCAATGTCGTTGGATTTGATGTTCCTGAGACTCCTGTCTCTCCAGTTGATAGTGGCAAGAGGATAGCCCTCAGACTCACAGGCCAGCTCCACCTCATCTCCCCCACGTCTCTTCATGCTTTTAATGATACTCTTATAGGTAGCTAAAGGACACATGAAAGTAAAAACTTTAAACTCTATTACATTTACATTTTAGTCATTTAGCAGACGCTCTTATCCAGAGCAACTTACAGTTAGTGAGTGCATACAATGCAGTAATTATAATGTGGTTAAAGTACATATGTAACAACATGTTAATACAGTGTAATTACAGTGTCGTATAAGAGAAACTTAAAGTAAAATGTTACCACATTTTTTCTGACAAGTTCATTACCTAATATTGATTGACTGTTTATAACAACTACAGTAATGCAATGACAGAGCTTTAACTCACCTCTGACAGTCAAAGTGGTCTGTTTGTAGTCAGCTCCCCCCATTTCCACAAGACATTGGTAAATCCCAGAGTCGTTGATCCTCAGCCTGGACACATGTAGCTTGGCCCAGCCGTTGGTCAGCTCCTCCGACACCAACCATGCCCTGCCGTGGTACTGGAGATCCTGAGAAGTAAGGTCCTCCCGTCCGTTCTCCAGCTTGTACACGTCTACAACTGGAAGAGGCCAGACCCGTTGCCATATCACTGACAGGTTCGGGTCCCGGCCCCCAGGTCGGAACCTGCAGCCCATGGTGACATCACCGTGGAACTCTGCCACATGTGAGAGACTGTCCACCTCCACTGTGAACATGGCTGTGTAGAGAGAGAGAGAGAGAGAGAGAGAGAGAGGGGAGTAAGAGGAGAGAGATCAGAGATACATTAGCAACATTGGCAATATCATCCGTATTAAAATCAGATATCCAAATTGTAATTACAGTCAGTCAGAAGTTTAAATAACCAGGCTAAAGTGTGCTCTAAACAATGGATAAAAAATATGAATGTGGCTTTGAGTCTATTGTATTATCGTGAATGTTCTTTCAAAAATCAATAACATACCTGCAAGAGCTGGCCATAAGACTACGTGTAAAACCAAAAGAAAGGCCTGCTCCATTTGACCTAGAGAAGGAATGACATTTTTGAAATTTTGCAACCAATAGCTTTTGTAAGTGGAGTCATGAGTAAAACATTTTTTTTATGAGTCAGTCCATTGAAATAGAACAGAAATTGCCACACTAAAACTACTGTATAAGTCTGGTTTGAGCTGGTTACCGGGTGCTTCCGCAACTGATGCAACGGAGAAAATTAATGAAGGAATATGTATTAATTTGTTGCTGTGTAGTCTAACTTTATCTCGTGATTAGACCATAATGGTAGGAGTCAGCAGCATTGGCACAAATAGAGCATTTTACTTTCCTATAGGGCAGCAGGTAGCCTAGTGGTTAAGAGCGTTGGGCCAGTTGCTGGTTCGAATCCCCGAGCCGACTAGATAAAAAATCTGTGGATGTGCCATTGAGCAAGGCACTTAACCCTAATTGCTCTGGATAATCTGTTAATGACAACAACAACAACAACAAAAATACCAACACTGATCATGGGTACCATTCTGCATCATGTACACACAGGCTCTCTCTTACACACCTGGTCAACAATAGTGGTTGTCCATAAATGGAGTAATAACACCAGGTTCAGTGCAGCTCTGATTTCATATCTGACTTCATATCTGATTTCATAGATTCAACTTTAAATCAATAAGAATAATAAATCGAACGCAGGGAAATCAATCACCCATCTGAGGGTTTTATCACCGCAGCATAGTAAACCATGGTGAATGCATTTGTGTATAACAGAGGGTGATATTGAAACATAACAAGAGCTTTTCTGCTACAGTGCTGGTTATTACGGGCCATTCTCTGAGTTATTTAACCCAAGTAGTGGATTGGGGAAAGGCTTTCTAAGTAAAAGTCAACTCACAATGTCCTGGCAGAGACACATCTATTTATTGGATAAAAAAAAAAAGGAATTTCTTAAAGTAAATTCAACATAACGTTATTAGTCTCCACAATATATAATCAAGTTTAAGTTTCTGATAAGCAAATAAAAGCTTTAAAATAATAGAAATTGATTAAAACAAATGCATAAAACGTTGGCACATAAACTAAACGAAGTTAAAGCACTCAGTAAATGCAGTCTTCTACTACCTTTGCTGAAGTCTTCCTTGTTCTTTCACAGTCCCTCTCACATCGCATCAGTCACATATTCTGTTATGTAGTGTGGTACTTCCTCTCGATCTGTAATTCTCGACATCTTCCCCTCAAAGCCTAGCAGTTTCCTGATAGTGAGATGCGCTCATTTACTTACCTGGGAACAAAGACGGTGAATAACCTAATACAACTAAATGGTCCAATGCAAAATTATCACTATAAACATAAACACTATTATCATTTACGGACAGGAGAATTCCCGATAAAAAAAAGGGGGATTGAGATTGAGTACGGTTGTAGAATCTGGATAAAGGATCTCTGTCTATACAGATCTCTTAATTTGTTGTTGTTGATCTCTTTGTCAGAAATAGTCCTGGCCATAATGATAACATTAATCAAAGAGTCATTTATGGTTACAATCCCCCTTTCATCTTGCACAATAGTTGTAGGGGTTTAGTAATATCGAATGTAGGCTAAAGGAGGAAATCATCGAATCCTCCCAAAATTACACAATTTTTACTGGCAGGGTAGAAGAAAGTTGTTTAACCCTTAATTTACTCTACCAGAAAGGACTAGGAAGTTACAGTAAAGGGGCAAGCCTAGCAGTCTATTATGATAGTCTCAGGCAATGAGCCAAAAGATCCATTACAGTAAAGGAACACCACAGCTCAGACTACTTCCTTGTTCATTGCCATATGTTACTTATTAAAGGCCCAGTGCAGTCAAAAACGTGATTTTGCTGTGTTTTATCTATAGGTTGGAATAATACTGTGAAATTGTGAAAATTATGATAATGCCCTTTTAGTGTAAGAGCCGTTTGAAAATACTTGACATTTCAGCCTGTTTTGGTGGGATAGAGTTTTGGCCTGCCTTGTGACAACACCAGGCGACAAATTAGTTAACAGACCAATAAGAAAGAAAGTTCCAAACCTCTCTGTCAAACACACCCCCCCACACACACCCACCCCCACCCCCAATTCTTTACCAGTTGTGGGTAGGCTATTTAGATTGTCATTATTGAGACACCCTTTTTCCATAAAACATATTAATGCACTACAACTGATATAACGGCGACAAAGCATTGGAAAACGACTTTAGATAAATTCGCTCAGGGGTGATTTAAAGTCAACTGCATTCTAATGTCGACTGTTCTAATGAATAACCGTATCATGCTCAGTTCTAGGGTCTGGAGCGCTGCGCGAGTGGACATTTGAAATGGAAGTTATGGAACTCCCTTGCATGCTTCTGTCACTGGAAAAAGTCCACAATGAAAATGACATTAAATATGAGGAATGATAGGCAATGTTCCCTCTAAGCTGCGTGCAGAAATATCAGCCCACATAGAGAAGCTATTTGCAAATCGTATATAGCCATGATATTATATCTGAAATGTATATTCCTTTGGAACTTTTGTGAGTGTAATGTTTACTGTTAATTTTGTATTGTTTATTTCAATTTTGTTTATTATGTATTTCGCTTGCTTTGGCAATGTAAACATGTTTCCCATGCCAATGAAGCCCTTTGAATTGAGAAGCACGAGATTGAACTTTCTAGAGCAGTGGTCACCAACCGGTCGATAGCCAAGGCATTCCTAGTCGATCGCCAAACATTTCTGTAAAAACCCCAATGATAAAGCCTTGTCACAGATAGAACAATGAGACAGATATTTCAACGGAAGTATAAATGTGAAGCATCCGCTTGGCGTTTCCACTCACTGGTAGTGAGAGGAAGCCCAGTGGCCGGCAGTGGGAGAAGATGGAACGAGATGGATTTTGGCCGAGATTCTGATAATTTTCTCATTGATGAAACATTTAATCTCAATACAGTTTTTTTCCCCCCAAAACTAAAATTTGTTACGAAGAGAGTGGAATAAGTTTTGTAGACTTTACCCTTTGCCAAAGTTTTAAAAAATTGCTTTGTTTAGAAGGAGTGCAAAGGCGAATTCAAATTAAATCAAATTTTATTCGTCACATACACCTGTTTAGCAGATGTTATTGCGGGTGTAGCTAAATGCTTGTGCTTCTAGCTCCCACAGTGCAGTAATATCTAACAATTTCACAACATATACCCCAATACACACAAATCTAAGTAAGGAATGAATTAAGAATATTGAAAAATATGGGTTGTTTATGAGTTCGAAGTACCAATAAAAAGGGATAAAAAACGTAGGTGCTGGATTTTAGGTCGGTAGCAACCACCACAGGGTCACCGTTAATAACATGAGGAAGCAGTAGTTCCAGTTCAAGGTTTAATGAAGATCCACACACACACACATACAATACCACTCTCTCTGATACTAATTGTGGTTCTGTAAAGAAAAGAGGAGAACTTAGGCTATAGCACAGTATGGGAAAAATATGCCTATTTGCATGTAAACAACTAAACAGGCTATGTGGACCCAAACACATGATAGATGCACAAAGAACAATAGAGCAACTTGTCTGGAACATGTGACGAGCTTCTCACTCTTGTACGGATCCAACTGCCATGGCTGAAGAGCTCTGCAGACGGAGAGACAAGGGATGTATGAAGGCACTGTTGTGGAGCAAGACTTTGCTGCAGGAACTTTGAAGGACCTTGAAGGGTCCATCCGAGCTGAGTCTTGACGGCAGCAGGTCCGCCAGGGGGACCCAAAGGCAATGGCTCCGTCGGGGTGATTAGATGGGGATAGTCTGATCTGATGAGCAGTAACGGCTGCGCCTCATCCAGCGTTTGAAGGGGTAGGCCTTTGAGGTGCCGATATATTTTCTTAAGGGCTTCGGCCGGGTAGGTGTGCGGTGCAAGGCCCAACTCTTCAGCTGTGAAGGCTCTGTGGATTTCAAAGGACCTGTTTGGTTGAGTAACAGGGGCCACAGAGAATGACACAGAAGCTCCATGGACAACTGATTTCTTGACGCACCGTACGAAGTGCCAAGTCCTCAGGATTTCCTTGGAGGCCTAGCTGCTCTGCTGCTTCATGTAGAAGTATAGTGTGCTCCGACCCGTCGTACAACAGGGCGTACGTGTCAAGTGACTTGTTGCCGCTCCGCAAGATGACTCGACTCATCTTCAGCAGCACCTTGCTGCTGCCGGAAGGTCGATCAACATAGAGGGTCTCTGCGGTGGAGCTCACCAGGCAAATGCTCTCTGTTGACGCCTTTGTGCAGGCGGTCTTCAGAGTTCATGCTAGTGTTCTTTGTAGCAGTCGGGCTAGAGAATCTCAAGATGCTTCTTCTCGCACTTCTTGCACTTAGCCTTGAGAGTACACTGAGCTGTTTGGTGTTTCGTGTCCATGGAGGATGGTGATGGTCTTGTGGAAGGATATTTTCTTTACACTGATCTCGGCGTGAGCTAGGGTGGTCCCTACTTTGGTCGCTACTGAACTGCGTGCCATCTACTTGCACTCTCATCTCGTACTCGAGCCACTCTGCCAGGTGAAGGAGGGTTGGAATGGGTGTCTTGTGATGGGGTTCACACATCGCTTGAAGCTGGCTCTTAGGTTGTGTGGTAACTTAGCTAAGAGGCGGGAGACGTGTGGCTCACATGGGAGACGTGTTGAAACATCAAAACGAACTCTGAATCAACTATATTAATTTGGGGACAGGTTGAAACATGAAACATTCATGGACATTTAGCTAGCTAGCAGCGAAAGCTTTAGGGCCTAACTCAGCGTTTCCCAAACTCGGTGCACGTTTTGGTTTTTGCCCGTAACACTACACAGCTGATTCAACTGATCAAATATTGATTATTAGTTGATTACTTGAATCAGCTGTGTAGTTCTTGGGCAAAAACCAAAACGTTTTGGGGTCTCGAAGACCGAGTTTGAGTCTTATCTTGATTATTGTCCAGTCGTGTGGTCGAGTGCTGCAAGGAAAGACCTAGCTGGCCCAGAATAGAGCGGCACGTCTTGCTCTTCGTTGTAATCAGAGGGCTGATATAAATACTATGCATGCCAGTCTCTCTTGGCTAAGAGATGAGGAAAGACGGACTACATCACTTCTTCTTTTTATAAGAAACATTGTGTTGAAAATTCCAAATTGTTTGCGTAGTCAACTTACACACAGCTCTGACACACTTACCCCACCAGACATGCCACCAGGGGTCTTTTCACAGCTCTGACACACATACACTTACCCCACCAGACATGCCACCAGGGGTCTTTTCACAGTCCCCAAATCCAGAACAAATTCAAGAAAGCGTACAGTATTATGTAGAGGGATTATTGCATGGAACTTCGTTCCATCTCATATTGCTTAAATGAACAGTTAACCTGGTTTCAAAAAACTGATAAAGCAACATCTCACGGCACAACACCTCTCCCCTATTTGATCTAGATCAGGGTTCTTCAATTCCGGCCCTGGAGGGCCGAAACACTTCTGTTTTTTATTTATACCTGGTAGTTAATTGCACTCACCTGGTGTCCCAGGTCTGAATTAGCCCCTGATTAGAAGGAGAGGATGAAAACCAGAGGTGTTTATATGATTTATTTATTTCAGCATCTTGAGAGAATAAGAATTTGCAGTTAGTTAGATACCGTCTGTAGAGGCGCTATCTTTATCAGCATCATAAAAGCTGATAGTATTTCAACCACATAAAATATGCATTCAAGACAAACTGAAATCTTATCAGCAACATGCTGGGTCATTTTCACAGTTTTCTATTTCCTTACAACCGGTCAAACTGATGTCATTTGGAAATTTTGCACAGAAAGTATTTTCAGTTTTTTTTATAGTTATAGCATTTTCTCACTGGTCCCTAAATGTCTTTGCTCCGCGAAAGAAGCAGAGACCTTAGAGAACTTTACCGATGTCAACTAGGTCATTTCACAGTCCCCAAGTCTAGAACAGACTATGGAAGGCGCACAGTACTACATAAAGCCATGACCACATGGAACTCTATTCCACATCAAGTAACTGATGCAAGCAGTAAAATGTGATTAAAAAAACAGATACAAATACACCTTATGGAATAGCAGGGACTGTGAAGCAACACAAACATAGGCAAAGACACATGCATACACACACGATAACATACGCACTATACACACACGTACGCATGGATTTTGTACTGTAGATATGTGGTAGTGGTGGAGTAGGGGCCTGAGGGCACACAGTGTGTTGTG